CCCAGCGCCATTCCTTCTACATGTCACCATCTTACTTAAAGAGGTGGGCTGGCCATCAATCCCAGCGGCTGGAGGTGGGTATATGGATGCCCATTGCAGCATTATTCTGTTCTGGTCTCTCTGTATCATGAAGAGGTCTCGGTGGCATCCCGTTACAATTCTCAGAGCACCTCGAGCTCATCACCAAATAATACAGTTGGGGATCCCGATACTGGTGTCGTCTAGCGAAGGTCTTTGCCTTTACAGCGAACAAATGCTGAGGATGGTGAAAGCCCTCAAAATTGATGCTGCCACTTCAGATAACCGACTGAAGAATAGAATCTTGAGCCGCCTCTACTCTGACTCCCCAGGTATAGCGGCGTTGGTCTCTCTCACCTCATGGTGCCGATCTGGCACAAAGCGGCCTTGACTCGGGCCACCTCTCACAAGAATGAAAACGTATACAAGCTAAAGCAAGACTCCTGCAAGTTCCTGACCACCCACCCTCCTCTGTCATTGTTGGTCATGGAAGATATGCAGGCATGCCAGAGGCCTGGCCAACATTTTTCCCTGGCAGACAAAGTCATCACCTTGATACCTTGGGGTGAAAGTTCTACACTTCTTCTGCCCTCAATTTCCATGTGGCAAACTACCTATTTATTTTTTATCCATTTATTAAGAGGCGACGGTCCGCCCCCTCTTTAAAAAACCTTCCTTGGATCCGGCCGAATTGGCCAACTATTGGCCGGTTTCCAATTTGCCCTATCTGGGCAAATTAATAGAGAGGGCAGTGGCGATACAGTTGCAGGCTGTTCTGGATGACACTTCCACGCTAGATCCATTCCAGTCCGGCTTCCTCCCGGGCCACGAGACTGAGACGGCTCTGGTCGCCCTCACGGATGATCTCCGAAGGCACCTGGATCGGGGTGGGACGGCGGTGCTGCTGCTGTTGGACCTATCGGTGGCGTTCAATATGGTCTATCACCAGTTGCTGGACCTATCGGCGGCGTTCAATATGGTCTATCACCAGTTGCTCGCCCACCGCCTCGCCGACGTGGGGATTCGGGGGCTCGCCTTGCAATGGCTTGTCTCCTTTCTCCAAGGTTGGGGACAAAGGGTAGCGCTCGGGGAGAAGCTGTCCCAGAGACACCCACTAGTTTGTGGGGTGCCTCAAGGAGCAGTTCTCTCCCCGATGTTGTTTAACATCTATATGCGCCCCCTTGCCCAGATTGCCCGGAGACATGGGCTAGGGTGCCATCAATATGCGGATGACACCCAACTCTGTCTGCTGTTGGGCGGTCAGTCTGGCTCTGACCTGGAAGATCTCGATCGAGGGTTGCGGGACATAGCGGGCTGGCTTAGGCTGAGTCGACTGAAACTGAATCCGACGAAGACGGAGGTCCTATGCCTGAATCGGAGTGGTACGGGGGTAGGGGTCCCACTTCCGACCTTTGGTGGGGCACCACTGGTGCCAGCTCTGAGGGTCAGGAGCTTGGGAGTGCTCCTGGATGCTTCCTTGACAATGGAGGCCCAGGTAGCAGCCACTGCCAAGGCAGCCTTTTATCATCTGCGGCTGATTAGGCAGTTGGTCCCCTTCCTCGAACGCAATGATCTGGTATCAGTGATCCATGCTATGGTCACCTCGAGGTTGGATTACTGCAATGCTCTCTACATGGGGCTGCCCTTGGGGCAACTTCGGAAGCTGCAGCTAGTGCAAAATGCCGCGGCCAGGTTGTTGATGGGTTTCCCCATGAGAGAACACATCCAACCTGTGCTGAGGTCGCTGCACTGGCTGCCAATAGTGTTACGGATACGCTTCAAGGTGCTGGTTTTGACCTTTAAAGCCCTAAATGGTCTGGGGCCTGTCTACCTGTATGTTCCCCCGAGGGCACTGAGATCCGAGTCGCAAAATTGCTTGGTCCCCCCAGGCCCTAGGGACGCAAAGTTAGCATCCACAAGAACTAGGGCGTTTTCCCTAGCTGTACTGGTATTATGGAATCAGCTCCCAAATGAAATTCGAGCTCTACGGGATCTTCAACAATTCTGTAGAGCAGTAAAGACCGAGCTGTTCCGGCAAGCGTTTCAATAGTCTGACCACACTGACTGTTCCACATAACTACTTGCACTTTATAACAGATGGCCGCCACATCTTAATCTTAAATTTAATACATTGTATTTTGATATTTTATTGATTGTATTGTTTTAGACTTGATATTCTATTAATTGTATACTGGTTTTTAACTACTGTAAGCCGCCCTGAGCCGCTTCGGTGGGAGGGTGGGGTAAAAGTCTAACAAAAAATTTAAAATAAATAAATAAATATTACTTTAACTTTTACTCCACCCTCCCTGCCAAGGTGGGCTCAGGGCGGCTTCCACAAAACTGATGAACAATATACAATTTGCAAATGATAAAATACAATAAATCAATTTAAAACATAACTTCGATGGCGATAGCAATAAAGTGCAGTTTAAGGACACATTCAGCGGTTATCATTGGGGGGGGGGGTTACCAACTTTTCCTCTGGAAAAGTCTCCCCCAATATTTAGACATGCTGCCTGATGAGTCCAAGTCACTGGCCAAACTTATCCAGTCGGAGACAATTAGGTTCTCTGAACAAGAGAGCAATGCAGACAGACATGCTGCAGACATATCAGCCAGATCCATGGCCTTTGCGATAATTCTCCAGAGACACTCATGACTGTACAACTGTACCGACTGTACAACTGTACATGATTGTACAACATGGCTATCCTGTTGGATGCACTGCAAAGTTGAGGATCTTCCCTTCGATGGGTCGACCCTTTTCTCACAAAGCGCCTGGTTGGGCTGACTGGCCAGATGAACATTGTGGCCCATGGCATCCCCCTTGCTGATCCCAAATATGTGCAATAGGGAGTATGTTAGTCGCGATGGATCCTGTGAGCTGTTCACTTTGCTTAAATTGTTTTAACCTGTATTTTACTGCACTGTGTGCCTTAATTGTTTTTAACTTGTTGTATTTTATTACACTTTTGTGTCTTGTAAGCCGCCCTGAGCCCGCGTGTTGGGAGGGCGGGGTATAAATGAAATAAAATAAATAATAAAATTTTTTAAAAGGGGTGTGTGAGTCCTAGGAAGAACTATGACTAGTGCCCCCCTTCAATAGAGAATAAAGTGAAAAGTCGAGAATGAGAAGAAGAGATGGGATTTATACCCCGCCCTTCACTACCCAAAGGAGTCTCAGAGAGGCTTACAAACTCCTTTCCCTTCCCCTCCCTGTGAGGTAGGCGGGGCTGAGAGAGCTCTTGACAGAAACTGCTCTTTTTCAAGAACATCTCTTATCAGAACTACTGGCTTGCCCAAGGTCATCCAGCAGGTGCAAGTGGAGGAGTGGGGAATCAAATCCGGTTCTTCCAGATTAGAGTCCGCGCACTTAACCACTACACCAGTCATACACTAAGTAACCTGCCACACAGGATTGTTGTGAGGGTAAAATGAAGAGAAAGAATTACGTATGCTATCCTCAGCTCCTTGGATACTAACAAATAAAGGCTACGCACAGAAGGGAACCTCCCGGACTGGCCACAGACAGGCCAAGTTGGCTGAGCTTCAGAAGGCTGCTGGATCGTGTGCCCCATCCACACTTCTCCCGATGGGCCTGGCTCTCATGCCGAGGGCAGAGGAAGTGGAGCTCTCCTCCCTCCACCAAGGGGCACCCAATGAAGTTGACAGGCAACAGATTCAAGATGGGTGAAAGGGAATACTTTGGTCAATGAGTAACTAAACTGGGGGGTTCACTGCCGGTGGACGTAGTGATGGCCACAAGCATAGATGTTTTGAAGAGTGGATTAGGCAGGTTTATAGAAAAGGCATCATTAACAGCTACTTGCCATGGTGACTAAAGAGAACCTCCACATTCAGAGACAGCGAACCCCTGAATGCCAATGATGGGGGGCGGCAGCGGAGGGCCTTGGCCTCTATGCTGTTTGTTGGCCACTGTGGAAATCAGGATGCTGGACTGGGGGGGGGCACTTATGTCCTCATGATAGCTGGAAGGGAGCAACCTGCGCACATCCACTGATGCCTACAAGACAGACTCCTTTGGCTCAGCTGATATGCAGCCTGTGCTTTGTACTAGGTGGGACTAGACTAGAAGCGTGGGACATTTTGCCTCATTTCATCCAAAACCAAAAAGAACCTGGTCCGCACAGGAAAGAATTATGAAAATCAACACGCTTTCACTCATTAGCATGGTGTGTTTCAGTTACGAAAATTAATGTTTGGCAATTAAGGTTCCCTGCCTAGGGGAATGCACTACTTTGCTAAGGTGTAAAGCACTTTTTCCCCCACCCCCTCTTTGCAGAAAGATCGTGAGAAGTGAACTGAAGCGTAAACAAGGCTTATAGGCACCGACCATGTTCGCGTGGAAAGTGGATCGGGTTTTTGTTACCTCCACACTGAGATATGGAGGGCAGGGGAGAATGAGCAACTTGCTTCCAGAAGGGGCAGTGGTGTGACTTTCCCCAGCAACTCTGACAAAAGGACTGAGCAGAGAAGATATGAAAACCAGCTTCTAGACTACAGGAAAACTGACAACAGGAGAGTGAACTTCGGCCAGCCGCTGTGCTGTCCTGGCTATTACATAGAGTAATGCAGCCGTCAGTGGGAAGGTAACAGCGTTCCATGCGCCTTGGTGTTTAGTCATGCCGGCCACATGACCACGGAAACGTCTTCGGACAGTGCTGGCTCTTCGGCTTTGAAACGGAGATGAGCACCGCAACCCTAGAGTCGGATTCGACTGGCTTTCGAGCAAGGGAACCTTTACCTTTAATGCAGCCGTCACACACATGGAATGCTTGCTGACCTCTTCGAAAGTCCAGTTTTACGATACTATGGTACTAGAGGAAGAATACTCCAATTGAGTTCCTGTCTGCCAGCATCAAAATTGTTCAGCATATGCAAACAGATTGTGTCATGCCAACCGTGTTTGTAGATCTGTCTTTATTTTCTCTCTTGTAAAAACCTGTTTGAGAAGGTTTTCGATCAAAAACAGGAAGTAAGAACAACTTTATGGTAAGTGCAGAGGAAAGTTTCCCCAAAGTTAGTAAAGCCTCTCGGCCACAGACACAGACCACCTGCCGCCCCCCCAGACTGGTCCCTCCCCCTGCCCCATGGGCAGCCTTCCCAATTTCTCCCTAATCACAGGCCTCTGACAGCACTGCCAGCCTGGATGTGGGGAAAGAAGATGGCAGAGTTCCCGGCAAAAATCACAAGACAGAAAGCAGGTGCTCCTTCTCAGTGACTTCTTTGGAAGCTGGAATTCCATCAGGCCTTCCCTAACCAAGGAGGCCCAAAGTTACACAGCGCCTGTTGCTCATCAGACAGGGTGGAAACAGAGGTATAGAATGTTGCTTTCCAAACGGAAGTGTCTCTGAATCAGCCACGGCAGCAACTCAGATGCTGGCAGTGAGCTGCTTCTCTTCACCTCCTGTCATTCCAACTGCAAACGAATGCTTGCTGGCTGGGTTAGCTTGATACGGCGAATAGTTCTTGGCAATGCCAGGAAGAGGGCTCATCGGCGCCTGAATGCCCGTGATATCCTCCACGCATTGGGCTCCTCATAGCGGTTGTACAGTGGCTCGAGACGCTGCTGCTTCTTCTGCTTGCTCAGCTTCGTGGGGTCAGAAACCTTGAAGAACGCTGGCGCAAACTCCACCAGCCAGCGGGGATCTATGGTGGTGACCTCCCGCATGTACTCCTTGGTTGTGAGCACCAGCTCATGGTACACAACCCTGGGGGAAGGGAAGGAGACGGCTGGTTAGAACACCATTCGTTCCCCATCCTCACTCTTCAAAACCTCCTCTCTCACACGCATACACACATT